GTGCAGGTCACAATGAAGAGCATTGCCATGAGGACAGGGTCACAGGGAGAAGACCCCAGCAAGGGTGCCAAATGGTGGATCTGCAGGGAAATTTGGAAAAAAAAAAAAGAAGAAAGCTTCCCGACGGGTGATGGCCGCACCGAACAGCGTGCAGCCCCGTGCAGTCCTTCACGTTACGGGAACGCGCCTGTACAGCAGACGGGGAGATCCCAGACCGTACCCCGTACGGTGCACCGGACCGTGCGGCACGCGGGGCGGTTGCAAGAATGCAAGAATGCTTTATACCCACACGGCAAAACGTGGAGTAGTCCCCGTGGATCATGCTGACATATTCAGATTCTACAATCAGAGAATATTTGGAATCCTGAATTACTACTCTTTCGTGGACAATCGATCATCACTATGGTCGATAGAATCTTAACACGTCAGCATGATGATGCCGACATTAACGAAGAACAAAGGAATCTTGTGCATTGACCTTAGTGCACGAGTGCAAGTACGCTTTAGAACGCGCCAACGGTCTGTCAGCAAGAAGGGTCTCACTACGCTTGACTTGCTGAGACCGTTGGCGCGTTCTAAAGTGTCCGTGCACTTGTGCACTTCTGCACCACACCTCAAGCGCAGTTTTTCATCACATGCTGTTTCCTGGGGCCAGTAGCTTAACACATTGCCGTCGATGCATCGTTAACCGCAAGCTGGAGCATTGATCAACATTGATAGCTCATAATAAACATCCACAATGCACTTAACTTCCGCAACTCAGCTTAACAACTGAAGAATCCCATTCGAAGTCACGAAGCCAGAGAGGGGGGTTGTTAAACTTGTTTGAATTTGGGGAAAGCAAACCTGCAAGGTTTTTGTGAACTGCGCCAAGCTTCTCTTAGTCGCACCGTAGGCAGAATACCTGCATTAATCAACAGGGGGAAAAGAGATCTCCAGGTTCACATATAGGTGCTACACATTTTTTTTTTCATGAACCATAGCCACCACTGCATTTCATCAGGACCTGTCAGCTAAAACAATACCAGGCGCGTGTCATGCGTCTGCTTTTGGCACAGATATTATTCCACAGCGCCTCAGAGCCACACACAGCACACAAGAAAATGAAAAAAGTTCAAAAAACACTTCAACACACCAAGTTCCATCAGACGTACAGACGGTACAGGGACAATTTTGTACCATTCATTTTTTTTTCCTTCATTCAACTTGATTCAAGATTGGCTGAATTTCGGTGAAGTTGGGTGAACTGCTTAACCCACCAGTCCAATGGCCTCTGCAGAGTCTGCACTGTTTTCTTTTTTTTCGAGGATGAGACATGGGCCAAAATCTACAGTGCCCATCTTTGCGCTTGGGGCGGCCTGTCTCTTATACACATCTAGATGTGTATAAGAGACAGGAGTCTGCACTGTTTTCTTTTTTTTCGAGGATGAGACATGGGCCAAAATCTACAGTGCCCATCTTTGCGCTTGGGGCTGTAGGCCAAGATCGCTATCACAGTGCCGATCCCACTGGGAGAGAAATGGTAAGGAGGAGGTAGGTGGGATTACAGTCAGATTGGGGCGTCTAGACTTCCGCTGGGGGGAGATAGGGAACGGCAGGTGGGAATACAGCTGGGCCCAGGCTGTAGGGCAGGATCCCCACCCCGCGCTGAGCAAGAGATGCTCAGGAAGGTAATGAATGACCCAGTCCATGACGGATACCCAAGACGTGTCTATTGCTGGCTGAGGACTATATTCCAAACCCCCTCAGGGGCCGAAAGGCCGCTGAGAATTTCAAAATTTGCAGTGCCCAGGCCTGGTAGTGCAATCAGACTCGTTTTCAAACACACTTTTCACACATGTAAACAGTAACGCAGCATACTGGCGACATGCGCCCACTCAAACTCAGAGATATTTCACTCCCAATTGGCTATGGCGACCTCAGCGCCCAAACATCTCACTGTTCACATACACGGGATCACCCTGGATATCCCACACGCATCACTCTAACACTCGAGCACACACACACACTCACTACTAACTACA